AAAATAAGAATTAAGAATAGGAAAAAAAAATGAGGACGAGACAAAATAATAGTTCTCACCTTAGGCTAGGAGACTATGATCGTATTGTTATCATACAACCTTTATTTATAGGGGATTGAACAAGAGAAATTAAGCCTAAAATTAATTATAATAAAATCAAATGTTTTCCAAATAAATAATTATAAAATTGGATATTGTTGTGAAGAGAAATTTATGGGACTAATTTGGAGAAAATAATTTGTTTCATTCCTATTTTGAGTGATCTAGCACTAATTTGCATTTAATTCTTGATTCTTGTGGCCTTTAATCTAACTAAATTGGATTCCTGCACTAGTTAATTTGCTTTATTTAAAATTTCCATTTGTAACATTCTACAAGTGGGTTGTGTAAGCAAACTTAGACTTCCAAGAAGAGTGAAGTTTGATGACATCAATTTGGACATTTCTTTCCATAAATTTGGTTCATCTCAAATTATTTCTCCTACAAAAGAAGAAAAAGAAATATGCAATATAGATGTATATATGTATATTATTTTTTTATCTAAAACTATGCAAAATGCAATAAATTAAGAAAAAATTGAATTATGATATATTTTTTATGAAAACATGTTAAATGCATGGTTTATGAATAAAATAATTAGTTTAGAAAAAACTCTTATATCAAGAAATAAAGAGTAAAATGACATATATAAGTGTGCTTATGCTTTTATCTGATTCCTAACATGAACCAGTAAATGCTACCTGATTCTGAAGGAGAATTAAAAGTTGATCATATTGGGCCTTAGTAAGTTGCACTGAGCTCTCTTCTATGTTGAAATTTGTGACTTGGTGGATAACATAATTGGATTTTTTGTATCCGGGATATCCATGTTACTTGTAGCACTTGTTTGCAGTATGACCAAGCATTTTGCGTTAACTGCATTTTGGTCTCTCTTTCTTTGTGAAACCATATTGTTATAGCTTGTTTTTGTTAGGATCGAGCGTTTACCATTTGACAAAAGTTATAACTCATTAATTAATTTGTAGAAAAAAATCAGGATGTTTCCAACAGCTATTATTCTTCAAAAACGAATATATTTCTCAAATTTGAAGTGTCATAATCAATTATGTTACTTGCATAATCGATTATGACAGAGGCAAAATCAATTTTTATTTCTGATGCATCATAATCAATTATGTTACTTGCATAATCGATTATGACATTGAAACTTTCAAAAATAATTGCTTCATTTACTAACATAATCGATTATGAACCTCTCATAATTGATTATGAGAGTGAAAACTGTCATAATTTGAAAATTGTTTCACACTTGTGTTTTGGAGACTTATGCATAATACTAATTCATCAACTTGTACCTCCATATTTAGTGTTCTAAGACTCTATCTAGTCTTTGGGCTTGCATTAGTCTTGAATGGTGTTGATTTGAATCTTCATAAAAATCATCTTCTTCAGAATGTAGAGAAATATTTCACATTGCTATCAATCTTCCCCACAGTGCTTTCAGTTTTGAGATTAAGAAATAACGAAAATAATTTGCGAAGATTGTTGTGTTAGAATGTCAACCTCTTGTCGTTTTTCTTCTTGAATGACAGCGAAAACACACAACCAATTAAAAAAATAAGGTTCATTAGAAGAATTTGAGCACTAATTTGTGAATAGTTGTTAGTGAGACCCATTAAAAAAGACATGACATGATCAGAATGCAAGTAATCAATGAGGGGTTTACTGTCACGGCAAGTGCAGGAAGGAGATCGTTGAAAATCACCCAATTTTTCCTAAAGACTTTTGATCATGATAAAATATTGACTTATAGATATCAAGCCTTGTTGGAAGAGAAAATTGTTTTCTTCATTTGGAAAACCCTAGGACCATTGTTTTGCTTATATCAAGAATTTAAATATTCTCACAAGGCAATAGCAGTAGAAGAGTAGATGATGTTGGTAGCAATATCTTTTGTGACCGAATTAAGAAGTCAAGAATGCACTATGTTGTCGTTTCTTTTCTACAAAGAAAGCTGGATTGGATCATTGGGTTAGGGAAGAGATTCATTGACAAAACTCATCTTGTTTTTTTAAAGTTATCTGCATTCAAAGACGTAGAAACAAGATCCTTACTTGAATTATCACCATGATGAATAAAGAGGGAATCATGAATCCAAATGTGGGACAACCGGAGAAGTTATGAACAAAAGGAAAGAATCGAAAGAAAAATTATAAGATACTAAATATAGAGTTACAAATTGATACCATATTAGAATAGGTAAAACTAGAGAAAGAGAAAAGAAATGATATTTTATTTAAAGACTCAAAAATGTTTTTTTAGAGAAAAGTACGAGATGAGTTTAAATACTCAAAAATAAAAAAATAACAAAATAAGATAGAATGGTAAAAAAATATTATTTAATAATATTTTTCTATTTTTTCCTTTAATTTTCGTTATTAAATATTTTGTTAATAATTTATTAACAAAATTTAATTATTATTATAACAAAAATTTAATTTAACTGAAAATTAACGTGAAGAAGAAAATAGAAAAATATTATTATATAATATTTCGTAACAATTGTTACCATTAAAAAAAAAACTAAAATCTAAAAAGAAAACGAAGCCAACTTACCACATGAAAAGTGGATCAAACAAATGGCTGGGTATATACTACTACAGAAGTTTAGCATATTGGAAACAATTTGATCCTAAAACGAAAATAAAATCAAGGACACATTTTTGAAAGAATATTTTAAATAAACACTTTTAGAATAAAAGTTAAAAATATTTTTTCATAAATCAAATTAACTTATGCAAATTAATTTTTTTTAGGCTTATTTTCATGTTTTAATTATTTGAAAATGTATTTACATATCACTTTTGTATGTCTATGATCGGATCCGGAGTTGTAGAATAAGTGGCACGAGTTTCAGGTTAACGATGAAAGTATTTTTAGAGAAATGTTTTAGCGCTTGGTGCAATTGATTGATACATAGAATTTAATAACTATGACATTATCAAAGTGTGGCGCAATGAAAGTTTACGATGGATCCATAACTTATAGGACTTAGGATTGAAATCTAACTTAATATTATAAGAAATACAGAATTATTGAAAACAAAAATAGTATTTCAAATCGATAATTTATTTCTGTATGAAATTGAAAATATAAAATTATTTTACAGAACCAGGTAGCATAATTGATGGAGGGAATGGAGAGGGTAAAATAAAGTGGACATGTGCAATGGAATTTTTGTAAATCTTTAATAGCAAACAAATGATTGATTAGTCGAACTTGGTCTGAAAATACATGTTATGATTGGATCAACAACTTCAAGCCATTATGCTCTACCAGATATATTGTCTTCCACCTTGAGAAATTATATTCATGCAATCATAGAAGTAGTTGAGCTTTTACATATTCCAAAGATCTTAATGAATTTCATTAAGATTTACTCGTCCGAAAATGACAAGAATTACGAGAATAACAATCTTGCCAAAACAAGTAAGATCTTTCAGAAGATTTTGGGCCTCCTTCCAATGATTCTTAAAAAAATTGTGTCAGATGAAAAGCAGTACACTGTTCATAATTTGATAATAGAAATTTAGCCTTTTAGTTTTCTAACTCGTAACGTGGCATATTATAAGCAGAAGAGCTTAGAAAAAATGATTATGCTCCAACAACCAATTATCTTGAGACACACAAGAACTAACTCCATATTACAAAGCCATCTATTTTATACCCAAATGGAAGCCATCAAGGTCTCTTTCATTCTTGAACTTCACAATGATTGACTCTTTATATTAGAAAAAAGTTATTAACTTTTTCCTCCATGCTCCGTTGTATTTCAAGTAGTCAACCAGAAAACCTACAGAACGCTAACCCTAATGAGTCAACATTAGCAATACATATATATAAAACCGTGAATATTAAATACGTTAATTATTCAATTACATATTTTACCAATTAAATATATACTATGTTGTCAATTTTACCACATATTTTTCATCAAAAAGGTGATCATGTATCTTTAATTTTATTTTTCTTTTAAGAAAACCGATCAACATGTTACAAAAAATGTAGTGATAAAATCCATAAACATTATTGAATGACAGTTTGTAAAATGACAATATTTGAATGACAATATGTACTTAAACCAACACTAATAACATTAAGTTTTTTACACATTAAAAATCACATTATGTAGGGCAGTTGTTAAAACTATATATTTAGTGATAGTAGTTAAATTGGTCCTCGTAGCCACTAAAACACAAATACAAGCTGTCTTCCAACTTTTATGTTCCATGATGAAAATTTAGGAGTGCTGCAAGTGGGGGGATTTGCTTGTATTTTGCTATGCTTACACTTCAAATGTCTAGTGAGCCACTACCAAAGCAAACATACTCTGTATCGAAAGGAACAAATCTCAGTGACCAAAACTCAATATTTTTAATTAGTCACATGGTACCCACATTACTGTTCTTGCATTCCTTTTGCCCATGTGATAGCTGGTGATTAGTGTGCCTCCATTACTTTGTCAATTAATTAGATACAAGAGTGAGCATTGATTAGATATTAGATTTAGAAGCAGTTCTTGAATCAAAATGATAAGTCACGAATGACATATAAACAAACGTGAATATCTTTGTTTCCTTCTGATATATTACGAGAGGATATTGTTACCAACTCCACTACATATAATTATTGGCTACAGTATATAATGCTGTCTAACTGGAGCTTCGTATACTATATGCTAAAACGCAACATCACCAACAATCATGGGAACCTAAGGTCTTGGATTATTATTAGATAGACATTAATTTATGATTGGTATAAACTTGTGTCATATTTTTAGGCGGCCATGGTTGACCAAGCAAGAAAATTATTGGACCTTTCTTGACTTGGATGGTTACTTTAATAGATGCGATTTCCTATATAAAGGGGCCATCATATAACCAAGAACGTCAAGCAAGTAAGTTGTATACTCAGCTCTGCTTAAGTATACGTAAAAAGAAATGAGTGCTGCTACTGCTAAGTTTTTGTACTTGGCTCTACTTCTGTGGGGTACTTTTTGTGCTTCGATGAGTGGTTTTAGTCATGGGATGTACGTTGATGGTAGAAGTTATGCTGATCCTAATCGATGGAGGTCTGGTGATGATAATTATTGTTCGTATGCAAGTTGGAGGGGTTGTGGCAGTTTCTTTGGAAAAGGTGGTAGCGATTCTAAGAACAATGAGGACAATGTAGAAGTTCCTATTCCCAGTGGAGGTGTTGGTAGGGGTTATGGACAAGGTAAGGGGTATGGTGAAAGTGAAGGAAACGGGGGAGGTGGAGGTGGAGGTAGTGGTGGAGGAGAGGGTGGAGGTGTTGGTGAAAATGGTGTGGGGTATGGTCATGGTAGTGGCTTTGGTGCTGGGGTAGGCGTCGGGCATGATGGAGGAGGAGGTGGTGGTGGCGGAGGAGGCGGTGGTGGTGGTTCAAGTAATGGTGTAGGGTATGGAGGAATAGGTCAAGGTAGAGGGTTTAGTGCCGGCTTTGCTGTAGGTGGGGTTAATGGAGAACAAGGGGGTAGGGGAGGAGGAGGTGGTGGTGGTGAAGGTGAAGGAGTTGGCAATGAAGGACAAGGTCGTGGTAGTGGTTTTGGTACAGGTGGAGGAATAGGAGGTGTAGGAGGAGGAGGTGGTGGTGGCGGTGGAGGTGAAGGTGGAGGAGTCGGCAACAAAGGGCAAGGTCATGGTAGTGGTTATGGTGAAGGGGGAGGAATGGGAATCATGGGAGGAGGTGGAGGTGGGGGAGGTGAAGGTGGCGGATTTGGGAATGAAGGGCAAGGTCATGGAAGTGGTTTTGGTGCAGGGGAAGGAGTAGGAGGCATAGGAGGAGGTGGCGGTGGCGGTGGCGGTGGAGGTGAAGGTGGAGGTGTTGGATATGGAGGGAAAGGTTATGGCAAAGGTTTTGGTGTTGGAGGAGGAATGGGCGGCATAGGTGGAGGTGGAGGTGGAGGTGAAGGGGGAGGAGTTGGCCATGAAGGACAAATTCATGGCAGTGGTTATGGTGCAGGTGGGGGAGTGGAAGGCACAGGAGGAGGCAGTGGTGGTGGAGGTGAAGGTGAAGGTGGAGGGGTTGGCAACGGAGGGCAAGGTCATGGTAGTGGTTTTGGTGCAGGTGGAGGAGAGGGTGGCATAGGAGGAGGTGGAGGTGGCGGTGGCGGTGGGGGTGAAGGTGGAGGAGCTAGCAACCAAGGGCAAGGTCATGGTAGTGGTTTTGGTGTAGGTGAAGGAGTAGGAGGCATTGGAGGAGGTGGCGGCGGTGGTGGTGGTGGTGGTGGTGGTGGTGGGGGAGGTGATGGTGTTGGTAATGAAGGACAAGGTCATGGTAGCGGTTTTGGTGAAGGTGGAGGAGTAGGGAGTATAGGAGGAGGTGGAGGTGGTGGTGGTGGTGAAGGTGGTGGTGTTGGCAATGGAGGACAAGGTCATGGTAGTGGTTTTGGTGCAGGTGCAGGTGTTGCAGCAGTCGGCATGGGAGAAGGTAGTAGTGAAGGAGGAGGAAGAGGAGGTGGTGGTGGTGGTGGTGGGAATGGAGGTAAAGGTTATGGAAGTGGTTTTGGTGCAGGTGTTGGTACAGGTATGAGTGGCATGGGAGGAGGTGGTGGTGGTGGGAGTGGAGGTGGAGGTGGCAGTGAAGGGCAAGGTCATGGTTATGGTAGTGGTTACGGGGGAGGTGCGAGCAATGGCGGCATGGGAGGAGGAGGGGGAGGAGGAAGTGGTGGTGGTAATGAAGGGTATGGTCATGGTAATGGGTTTGGAGGTGGAACGGGAGAAAGAAGAGGCATTGGAATTGGATTTGGCATGGGCATGGGGTTTGGATTTGGCATTGGAAGCAACCAAGCCACTGTCACCAATCAACTTGGTGTGAATGATCCTTAGAAGGCCCAAAATTAATGAAAGTCATACTTTGATGTTTGAAATGAACTCTATTGAAAATTATTTATTATTTGTATTTTAATGAGGGTAATTCAAAAGATTATGATCATCAAATATCACTCCTTGTCTTATAAAATGAATGAATCACATTCTGCAATGCAAAAATTTAAAAATAATTTATTATTTCTAAATTTTCCATTGCATATTTGTTAGTAATAAAGAAAAAAATCAATTAAGTTTATTAATATAATAATCATAAGATGATTCTATCCTTTAAAAAATAATTAAAATTTTTATTACATTATTTAATGAAATTATGAGAGATTATATTTAAAAATAAAGTGATCTAAATACTTTTTTTATGATACATGCACAATCACTCTAAAATAAAATATTTATTAAACATTTCCCTTTATTAATATAAATAATTAAAAAATAATTACAAATTAATATTATATTGTTAAATAAGATTTTCTAATAGTTATTTATAACAAAAAAATTGTGAATTAAATTTTCTTCCTTTTCCTCACTGTATGTTGCATAAATTGTGTATTTGCAGCTCTTACTTTTTAAGGCTTTTCTTTTAGAAAAAATAAAATCAAGCATACACTTAGATTTTAATTTATATTCTTATTATCAAATAAATATTTTATTTTAGAATAAAAATTGATAAAAGTAAATATCATTTAAGTTTGCGTGACTTTTTTCGACTAATTTTTTTAAGTATTTTCTATTAAAAAAATATAAAAAAAATAATTTCTTTATAAGTTAAAAATAAAAAATTACATAAATTATGTGAGAAAAATTTTATAAATTAATTTATACACAACTTAAATTTAATTTATAAAAGAAATATTTTTTTAATTTTATTACTTTCTCTTCGAAGTTATGAAAAAAATAGTCTAAACATATAAATATAATTTCAGATTTGATGACTCTCTTAAATTTGTTTTAGAAGTCCATAAAATTACTTTTTATATAAACAAAGTAAAGTAAATATTAAAAATAAAAGAGAGGCATATTTTAATTCTTAAAAATATGTTAGTTAAAAATAAAACTTATAAATAAAATATTTTTAATATATTTTCTGCATAGTATTTAAGGTACTTTAATAAAAAAAGTTATTTGCATATAAATTGTTACAAACACTTGTTGTCAGATCCTATTTTTAGGTTTTCAAATATGAATGCATAATTTTTATTTTTATTGTTGGAATGAGTCTATAATCTATATAATCCAAGCAAATACTGATACGTAGACTTTCGACGATAAGTGGGTCCAGGAAACCTTGGACAAGATCATCGGCAGAGACAGGTCAAGGTGGAGATTCCCATTCTATGGCCATAGGATGCTTGAGGTGCACAGAAAGCATAGCATGATTGAGCAACACTTGAACATGAACTGCATAGAAAAGAAAAGAACAAGACAAGGTAAACTCGTGTCTGGTTATGCACTCACCACTTACCAACAATGGGTATCGAGGCACAACATATTCGCTTACACTCGCACCAACCCCATTCTATTTTTGTTCTTTTTTATTCCAATGTGTCCAATTTTTCTCTCTTTATATATAGAAAACTGTCATCTTTCAGATCCTTCTGTTTTGCACTCCGGATGCCTTTTCGTGCACCCAGATTTCCACCATTCTGAATAGATTTTCACACCAAAGAAAACCATGTAAGTGCCTTTACCCTTGTCTTATCTCTTCCTTCCTTGCATTTTCCCATGTGAACTCGTATTTGCTTTCACGTAGCATACCATGATCTGTATTTTTCTTTTTTGTTTTGGATTGCTTGAGTTTGTGATGATTCTGGTAAATCTGGAAGAAATTTGGATCTGGACAATTGATAACGATTTGACTTTATCGAGTTTCTGGCTGTGTGGGGTTTTATGTCATGTACTGCTGTTGGTGATACAGAATCTCTTTTAATTCATTTATTTTTGTAATGATCAGATTTTCTGTCTATTTGCGGCGTCACATTGATATCTTGATTCAGGTTTTGAATTCAACAATGCGTTTGCTAAGGTTTTCATCGATACTTTATGTTTGGAATTTGACTTACGATTATTTTATGGGATTTATTTCATTGTCTGAGAAAATGAACTTTGCCCACACTGGTACAAGAGAAGAAATATAATTATTTTTCTCTTAAGTTTCACCTATGAATCTGGCCAGTGGCCATTAGCCTCTTTTGTTTGGTTTTTTTGCTTGTATCTGCTATGTGTTTATCATTTCTATAACTGTGAGAACATCTCGATTGTATGGCATCAAAAAACTTTTTCTCTTTTTTTTTTTTTTTATTCAATTTTCACCTGGAAATTTCGCCCCTTTTGGAAGGAGGGATTAGAGAGAGTAACATGATGATTACTATAGATGACATGAATTTCTTTGACCCCCCAATTAATATTAACTAGAAGTTATGCTGTGTGTAGATGAACAATTTTGACATTGAACTCTTTCCATTCCTCAGATAACGGAAAATGAGGGGGGGCTTGTGGCAACTTGGGCAATCAATCACTCGCCGACTTGCCCACGGTGATAAGAAGGCTGTTGCTTGTCGGTATTTTGCCAGTGAAGCGGAGCTGAAAAAGACAGTCCTTTATGACTTCCATGTAGTTAATGGAGGGAAGATGGTGCCATTTGCTGGATGGAGCATGCCAATTCAATATAAGGACTCGATCATGGACTCAACCCTGAACTGTAGGGAGAATGGTAGCCTTTTTGATGTTTCTCATATGTGCGGTCTAAGCCTCAAGGGAAAGGACTCTGTCCAATTCCTTGAAAAGCTTGTCATTGCTGATGTTGCTGGGCTTGCCCCTGGAGCTGGTTCATTGACTGTCTTCACAAATGAAAAAGGAGGGGCAATTGATGATTCAGTGATTACCAAGGTGAAAGATGACCACATATACTTGGTTGTGAATGCTGGATGTAGGGATAAAGATCTAGCTCATATTGAGGAGCACATGAAGGCATTCAAGGCAAAAGGTGGTGATGTGTCTTGGCACATCTATGATGAGAGATCTCTTCTTGCTCTGCAGGTCACTTATCACACCCTTGTACATTTGCATCATGACACACATTGAGCTTGCTGCTATTGAGTTACCATCCTCCATTTCGGTGTTATTGAGATGGCTTTAAGGGCTTTTAAGAGTAAAGAATGCTTATCAAATACTACTTCAGTCTACTATCACCTCACCTGCCCTGTATACACTTGCCTGCTGTGTAATTGCACCATATTGTTTTGTTATCTCTTTCCCAGGACCTTGTCATGTGAAAATGGTGCACATATCTCTTTGTATTTATATGCTATAAGCCCCACCTATTTAATACCTACGAAGAGAGAGAGGCACATAAATTTTTCCGATGACAAGATCATGTGAAATTTCAACTTGAAAGGATGCTGATGTGCTCTCTTTTAAACTGACTACTAAATTGAGGGAGCTTTAAATTAATGAACTGTTCTTCACTCTAAATTAACAAATCCCATATTTCCTTTGTAGCAGGGTCCTCTTGCTGCTCCAGTTCTTCAACACCTGACAAAAGAGGATTTAAGCAAGATGTACTTTGGGGAATTCCGTGTGTTGGACATCAACGGTGTGCAGTGCTTCCTCACAAGGACAGGGTATGTTTTCATGTGGTTTTCTTTCTTTAACATTAGCAATTCCTCTTGTAAAGATCGTCTGAGATGTAGTAATGCTACCTGAAATTCCCTCTTGTATGGTATCACTTTGGCTACATTATTGTTAAAATTCATTCCTTATACAGTTGTTTCGTGACTGATGTAGCGACTGCAACTTCATAATATCAGTTAGCCTTTTTCTGTTGTTATCTCATGGCACAATGCTTAATCCCAATGGTAGTACTGTGCATAATAACACACTCTTCATTGAGAATTTCAGGTATACTGGGGAAGATGGATTTGAAATATCAATTCCCTCAGAGAGTGCAGTGGATCTTGCCAAGGCAATTCTTGAAAAGTCTGAAGGGAAGATAAGGCTGACAGGATTAGGTGCTCGAGATAGTCTTCGACTCGAAGCTGGATTGTGTTTATATGGCAATGACTTAGAACAGCACATTACACCTATTGAGGCAGGACTCACATGGGCCATAGGGAAGAGAAGGAGAGCAGAAGGGGGTTTTCTAGGAGCTGATGTTATACTAAAACAACTTGAAGAAGGTCCTAAGATCAGGCGTGTTGGTTTCTTTTCTTCTGGCCCTCCTCCTAGAAGCCACAGTGAGATTCAAGATGAAGGGGGGAACAACATTGGGGAAATCACCAGTGGCGGATTCAGCCCTTGCCTCAAGAAGAACATTGCCATGGGATATGTAAAATCAGGATTGCACAAGGCAGGGACCAAAGTAAAGATCATTATTCGAGGAAAGTCTAATGAAGGAGTTGTTACAAAGATGCCATTTGTACCAACAAAATACTATAAGCCGTCCTGATTTACTGAGGTTTCGCCTTGAATCTTCCCAATACTCCCCCTTAACCAGTTTTCTTATACTCTGGGCATTGTAGTGAATTTCTATGCCATTGTCCTACCCACATCAAGTACAAGGAGAATGCCTTGCATTAATAACTCAATCTCATTCCAACGCGTAAGATAGTTGAGTGTTATCTTGAAGTTTTCTCACATTGTTCCAACAAACTTCTAAACTGAAGTCAATATGACATCTATGGAAGTCGACGTGGATATTCACTGCATGACTTGTGTTAGTTATTTCATTTCGATCATTTGATCCTTACAATCAAGAGCTGAAACATCAAGCTTGATTTTTTAGGTTATGATGGTTTAAATGTGATGCATCGGAGTAGTTCTTTGCATATCGTTCTACCCCGAAGGACCAACGTCTTACTATTGGTTTCAGATAGTTACTCATATTAACCCATTTCAATCTTGGGCTGCTTTCATATAGACTTTTATTTGAGATCCACTACATTAAAATTAAATGATAATGAAATTTTAATGTCATTATAGAGCTTTAATTAAACCTTGTTCACACACACACACATATATTTTTTTTTAATTTATGAATTTTTTTCTTATTGATATTTGTTGAAAACAATTTATCCACAAGATCTAATACTTTCCTAATTTATAAATTTCGATTAACAAAATAAATAAATAAATATTAATGCATTATATTATGACTCAAATATAAAATATGTTTAAAACTACACTTTGCCTACACCAGTGTGATTATTACCGGTACAATCGTGTCACATCCTATCTTTAAAATACCATGATTTTTAAGTTTTAATTCTAAATTTATGATGGTCTCCATCTGGTAAACTGAAAAAGTCTACACGGTGGTTGCCGATTAGGTAAAAGATGATAATGGAGTTGTAATAATTTGACAGGAAAATATGCCACACAATTTTTATTTTTATTTTATATTGGTGAGTTAGAGCAGATTAATAATTTCTTTACACGTGCGCCCGGAAAAGAATCAAGAAATAAATTACAAGGTTTCGTAAGAAGAAATTGCAAGAAAAAACTGATTAAATTGAAGCAAATAATCGATTAACTGTTAGCTTATTATATTACAACAAAAAATTAGAAGAGTTTGCTAGCGAATTCATCGGTGGTTGTTCCCTCTACCCGAGAATAAGCAGATTTTCTGGCGAGATCTCTGAGTTGTGACAAACTCCTTCCCAATTTCAAAGCCAATTTCATTTCAAACAACTCCCCATTTTCCCTTTGATCCTCGTCTTCCTCCATCGTGTCTTGGATCGAGCTCTCTAAGAGTTGGAAGAATCCACCACAGTTTCTATACATTTCTGACACCATCCCCACTTGCCCTCCATGTTCAAAAGCGTTAACAGTTGTTGCTAATGCCCCTCCTATAACTGCTACTATAGCTCCCCACGATGAACCTTCACTCACACATGCTGATCCCACAGCTGCAATGCCAGTGAGTAAAGGCCCTGCAATGGCCAAACTCTTGTTGATCTTCAACACCAAGTTTCCTAACCTCTCATAGTCCTTCATGTCCTTTTCTTTCACCACTTCCAAAACATTCCTAAGCTCCATTTCCAACCCCTTATTCCACCCATTACTCTTCCCTTGTTGTTGTTTTGCTTCACGGTATTTTGAGTTGTTCATTCTTTTTGACGTTGAAGGCCACCACACTGCTGGCTCAAACTTCTTAGGGAACTTTTCAAGCATGGCTCCCAACAAAGGAAGTGGGTACGCTTTGTCTAGGGCCAAAACTTTCTCGATCGCTTCCTTCACATCTTCCTCCCTAGGGTTTCCAATGGCTATGGTTGTTTCGATGTGGGACTGGAGCTGCTTGAACAACCTCGTAGCGTTTCTTTGCTCCTCAGCAAGTTGTGATGGCTGGATTTTGTTCATGACCACCAACATCCCCGTGGAGGCGGAAAACAAGAGCGTGGAGGATAGTTTGAGAGCCAACAGCGGGGCGCCACCGGCGCCGATGGTGGCGGCGACGCCGGCCATTGCGGATGCGGTGAGAGTGAGCATGTTGATGGAGTTCAACAGAAGGGTATTCCAGTTGTCGCGTTGCTCACCTATGTTGTGATGCATCTCCACTCTGTCGGCCACGGCTTCAAGAATTGCGTAGAGTTGAATGGTGGCTTTTGAGGTTGTGGAGGTGGTGGTGGTGGAGCTGTTGCATGAATTGTCTTGGAGTATTGGGATTGTGTGGGAGAAACCGTTTAACTCTTGGAACAGTTTTCTACTTGGTTTTGGCTTTGGTGCCACAGAAAGAGGTACAGAAAGTTTTTCTGGGAGGTGGATGGAGGATTTTATAGCTGATGGTGATATTGAACAAAAGGAGTTGGAAAGCAAAGATGAAGTCTGTAAGGAAGCCATAGCGCTTTACGTCTATGTGTCTGTTGGTTTTGTTGTGGATTTGATTTGATGTGGTTGGTGGTGAAGGGTCCTAATATATATGGGAGTTTATGTGTGAACACGATGATAAAAGGAAAGGGTCAGATATGGAAACTGTTGACTGGATTAGAGGCTTTGACTTTTTGCTCTTTGATTATGGTTTCATCTTTGTTCAAAATATAACGTCTCCTACTCGGAGTGCCTCTATTGCGATGTAAGATGTTTTGCAGTGAAATCGAAGGTTTGAACTTCGTGGATCGCAAGTTCATATTATAAATCAACTTGTTTGTTTTCCAAGGTTATTTTATGTTTATGTAACAGCTGACGATAAAATTGTCAACTACTTCTAAAGGTTAGTTTGGTAGCCACTCTGAATTGTACACCAATGTTTGACAAGTTTATACACACCTGAGAAGAAGAAAAAGTGAGATAACATGAACGTAATGGTGAGACACGGAGGAAAATATTAGTGTTTTTATTTTTATGAAAACAAATATTATAAGAATGACATTATTTTAAAATTTATAATGCCCATGGCAATTATAATATCATGTATGTATATATGCTTCTAATAATAAAATCAATCACCATCTTATTTTACTTTTAATTAGTGTTTTATTTATCTATTCTCTCTATAGTCAAATTAATATTTTAAAAAAACTAAAATAAAATCTATGTACAAGAAGGAATATAGAAAAAAATAAAAATAAAACATACACATAAGATGTAAACAGAAGACTCACAAGTACACCCAATGTTCCATTTTCAACGTTTATTCAGAAGCTCTTTGCAATGAAGGTTTTTAATTAAATGATACTAAAAATATTCGCTAGATTATGTTTTCAAGTATCTGATTGGTTGTTTTCTTGGGTATCAAAGAATCGATATACAGCTAATTCATATTTCTTAAATACTTGATGAACCATATCATGGAGATTAAAAAACTATATCTACTTATTTCTTTATAAACCTGACGAGTATATTATAATATTGAAAGGGATTACAGTTGATATTATATATCAGATGTCATCAAAATTATTACTCAGCATATATATTATATTTTGATTAATTTCGAGATTTTTAATCAAAACTCTTTTATTTTAATTTTATTTCAGATGCATAAGGTTTTAATATGTTCACTGTTTCATCGTTTGAAAGTTAAAAATAAGAATTATTTATATACATCATCTTCTTTTAATCTATTATACCTTTAAAAATAAAATTATGATAGATTAACAACTTGATAATTAATTCTAACTACGCTACTAATCCACACGCACACGTACCAGTTTTTTTAACTTGGATATCTGAAAACCTATTGTTTTTTTAATGTTTAAAAGGAAACTGATTATTTTAAAATCTTTTTTGACACCGTATATTCAAATAAAATTAATTCTAATTATTTATTCTGATTGTTATTATAGTATAATTAATAATTGAAATAACTTAATTTTCACAATTATTGAAAACATATTAGCTGACATGAACCCTAATCCTGCGGTAATATGTTTTCTTTTGAGTGGGGAAGGGGGTTATACGTCTTAATGAGACAACCTACACAAATTTATTCTCTGGCAAACTGTAACCACATTTTCTTTCTTTGTTAACTTTTCTTGCCCCTGAAAATATATCTTATTACGTATAGTTTGCCAAATTTATTAGTTTTCAAGCAAAATATATATCCGATTTGAAAGGTCCATTTTACGGAAAATTCTATATTCAATTCTTATTTGTATGTTAAATTGTCATAATAATAAATTTGTTACAAAAATAGAGAAAATGATCATCAATATATATCAACTAAGATATGAATAAAAAAAAAATTGTGTAACCGATATTACAGTTACCGAATCACATATATCTTTTCGTTCATATATACACGTATTTCTCAAACATGTATTCCAATAACCAAGGAAGAGACAATAAAATGAGACAGCAAAACGTATATAATATTGAAATGAGAAATTTCAGCGTGACGCTTTCAGATTCAAGAAGTAAGTTCAGTTGGGAACGTTAGGTTCCGTTGATATTTCATTCAAAACTTGAATAGTCAATGATTTACTGTGTACTTGAAATAAAATAATTGTTGGACACCTTCTCGATATATATATAAAATAATAATACAAGACGGTCATTGCATGCCTGGCCTTGTAGACGAGTCTTCATTATTTTTACATTATTTTAATTTCCAATTTATCCTTCCCTTTCCTTTGTGAGCTAATATCTTACAAAAGTTAAAAGTAACGTGAACTCAGCGTCAATCCATTTACTGTATCCAAACCTCAAATCTTGTACCAAAAAATTATACTTTCATCTAACTATACAATATACATGTATTATATACATTTAAAAAAAATTAAGAGAATGGTATGTAAAATTAAACCAAAAAAAAAAAAAGGTTGATCTTAGAAGAGTTTGCTGGCGAATTCATCTATCTCCCTCTGTTCTATACGACATGAAGCAGATTTTGAGGCAAGTTCTCTCAGCTGTGATACACTTCTTCCCAATTGCAAGGCCATCTTCAATTCAAACAGCTCCCCATTTTCTCTTTTCTCCAAGTCTTTCTCTTCAATTGTTGCTTCAATTGTCTCTTCCAACAGCTGGAAAAATCCACCACAGTTTCTGTACATTTCAAACACCATTCCAACTTGCCCTCCATGCTCAAAAGCATTCACCACTGTAGCCAAGGCCCCTGCAACCACAGGAACTAATCCATCTCCTGAAAATATACACCCCAGTGCAGCAATTCCAGTGAGCAAAGGTGCTGAAATAGCTAAACCCTTGTTTATCTTCAGTGCAATGTTCCCCAACCTCTCATAGTCCTCCATGTCTTTTCTCTTCACCACTTCAATGACCTCCCTCATTTCCTCTTCCAACTCCACATTCCATCCATTATTGTTATTGTTAATCTCCATTTGTGATTTCTCCTTGTTCAAATTACTTTGTGGCCACCATCTAGCAGCTTCAAACTTTTCAGGAAACTTTTCAAGCATTGCTCCTCCTAACAAAGGCAGTGGATAAGCTTTGTCCAACGCCAAAACCCTCTCCACAGCATCCCTAACATAACTTTCACTGGGATTTCCAACAGCGATTGTGGTTTGGATCTGTCTCTGAAGCTGCTTGAAATGTCTTGCTGCATTTCTTTGTTCCTCGGCAAGTTGTGAGGGTTGGATTTTGTTGGTAGCAAGTAGCATCCCAGTGGCTGCAGAAAACAGAAGAGCAGATGATAGTTTAAGAGCCAAAAGTGGTGCACCATCACAACTACCCGTGCCTGCAACACCAGCCATGGTTGAGGCCGTGAGCGTTAGCATGTTGATGGAGTTTAACAAGAGGGTATTCCAATTGTTGCGTTGTTCTCCAACGTTGGTATGTATTTCAATTCTGTCAGCCACAGCCTCCAATATTGCATAGAGTTGAATAATGGGCTTGGAATTTGTATTACATAGATTACCATCTTGTAGTATTTTGATGGTATCATTCTTTTCCGCAAATTTTCCCAACTCCTCAACCATGCTTTTCCTAGATGATGCTAGCACTTTCGGAACTGACAAGGAGACTCGAGGTAGTTTAGGGACATTGATAGAACAATTGGTTCTCTTCATAGAAGAAGAACACGAAGAAGAATGTAAAGGTTTATTAAGGACCGAAACATGTAAGGAAGACATGTTGTGTTGTTGAGATTGCAAGACGTTGTGTTTGGTTGGTGAAAGGTTAGGTAGCGGGTATATACGTGTGTATGTGTGTATATATAATAAGGTGGAAGAGAAGAGAAGGTGCCAGATAGTGAGAAAAAATTAAGGAGCTGATTGGGTCCACCAAAACATATTTGCTTATGTCAGGTTGACCAGTTCCTGTTCAAAATACTTTACCCAATGGCCAGGTCTTAGCATCATGCTTACGTAGTTACCCCAACTAAAACATTCTTAATCAAACCTTTCTGTACTTCCTTTCAATTACACAACAAACCAAGAAAAATTATATTGGAACACTCATTAAAGTGAAAAAAACACAAATAATATATTGAGAAAAAATATAAATTTTGTAATAATTATAATATGATAAAAAATAAATAAAAGTTGAGAAAGTGCTTGCTTTAAAAAAAAAATCCATGAATCATCACTCATAAATTAATAAACACAAAACCTGAAAAACAAATTATTATGCAAAGATACAATCTATACCCTCTCTAATTTTTACAATAAAAACTATTTTTTTCCTCTTTTTTTTCCAATGAAATATTAGTTTTCTGGTATTATTTGAAACTATTTATTTATGTTAACAAATGTATCTAGATTTTGTAAACTTAAAACATATTACTTAATATAGGAAGAAAATAAAATTTTCTGGTATTTTCTTTAACCCTATTTTAAAAAAATATATATTTATTTTCTGGTATTGTTTAATAAAATAAAATAAAAATCATATTTTTTTCCAATATTTCAATAAAACATGCGCTGTACGAGTATGTTTGCACGTACGTGGCAGATACTTGTGTAGCACGTCGTATTGTGAACTTTCCGAATTAGTAGTATTCGTATTAAACAGCACTTTTTATCCTACATCGGTGTCTCGCCGTATAAATATATATGGTATCTGTTTATGTTTTAAAAAATATTTATTAAAAAGTAGTTTATTTTTAACTAGTCCTATATTTTTTTTTCTAAAAATTTATCTCTTTAATCAAATTTTTTTTATAGAAAAACTCCAAATTATTCTGAAAAACAATATTATTTTTATATTTCTTATTTTTAAATAAATGTACTGGAATATATTAAATATCATAATAAATAACTATTTTATAAAAAAATATTTTGTTTTTAAATTAAACAAACAAATCCATTATTTATATTGGTCAGCTTAAATATAGGTAAAAAGGTTAATAAATATACGTAAATTTGAGTTATTGAAAAGAAAAATTATCTTAACTGGTGATGTTAAGAATAATGCAGTAAATTAAAGTATAAAAATCTAGGTACTCATTAAAACTTTTACTTTTTAAAAGTCTAAATAATGTTTAATTGGTGGCTAGTTATTTCGATGTTGACTTTTAATATTAGTTTAAAATCAAACATCCAAGGTGATGTCTGGGCACAGACGCTGATAATATTCTAAGTAAAACACAACAAATAACTTGAAAAATGTTCTGTAAAAAATGTTAAATTTGTTTATTTTAAAAAATGATTTTAGTAATTGATTATTTTTTTTATAAGTAAGGTGAAAAAAATATCATTTTAATGATTTAATCTTAAAAAAATATTTTAAATAAAGAAAACCTTTTCTTCTTAAGTTTCTTTTTTTAATAATTTGATTTAACAAAAATATCATTATAAGTTTTTTTTATACTTATTCTTCTTAAGTTGTTGTTTCGAATTCATGATGAACTAGAAATAACTAATTTTGATATAATCTTTATTTTTACGTTCAGAGCAAGTAGTTTCTTTTGTTGAAACTTGTTTGAGATTGTGCTTGAAAGGTTTAATTTCTAAATTATGAAATTAGAGTCTAATTTTTTATCAATAACTAAAATATTATTAATTATTATTATTATTTTCTAAATTAGTTGACATTTAATAAATTTTGCATATATATATATATATATATATATATATTTAAATTAAGTAATTTTATATTTGTATCTTGATTTAAATTAAGTAATAAGAGAATAATGTAATGTTTAGTTTTTGAAATTTGTATACATCATTTTAGTATTTTTATTGTGGTTCATTAAATTATTATATTTTTAAAATCTAACCAAATTGGTGAAATATTTAGGAATTTGTGATATGAAATTATTTTAAACTTAAAATAAGAATATTTAAATTTATATATGATGCATGTGAGGTTAAAATTGAGAAAGGAAAATGATCAATGTAATCGTATTTTTCAAAAGGTCGATGCATAGGATAACAGGGGTATGAATTATATTTCGCTTAAAAGGATAAATTATAGTTTAATAAAAGGACATTCTTTTATTAAAAAATATTTTATCAAAACTTTAGTAAATCAAAATATTATTTTTTTATCTGACATAAATTTAATTTTAGCGTTTCAAAATAATTAATCAATTTTATCCTCATAAACTTATTAAAAAACAAAATAGTTTTTATTATTGGTAACCTGTGGATGTCATAACGTAGCATGTACGTAGTCTAAATATGTGATATCATTAGTAAGAGATTATAAAAGTTGTTTTAAAAAAATATATATATCAAGTTTCAAAATAAAGAACATGACTAAAATGAGTATAAATTCAATTGTACATTCAGAAACAAATGTCTTAAATCTTAATTCTTCATAAGTTGAATATAACCAATGTGCTGTTAATTATTCGTGTATCTTAAATTTCAACAACATGTCGTAACAAATATGCATTCTTTGGCAAAGGCATTATTTTACCTGGTCTATTAAATAACGTGTAAGTTGTCGAGTTTGAATAAAAAATGAAGAATAAAGAATAAGTGATTTTGACATTATCCCCTCAGAAAATTGAAGAAAATATCACAAAGGTCAAACCCCTACAAAATTAATTCTAATTTCATCTTGAAAAGTAAATAAATTGGACATATTCTTCCGTTGTATGGTTTTGACACCCAATTTTGGTGGATTTTTTCCTTATTAAGATGTAAGCACATTAAAATTAATTATTTTCAATAAGTGAAAGTGTTATTAAATTATAAATATAGTTATATTAAAGTTAATGATTTTAAATTAAATTTCATCCAATCATAAACATCAGAGAGAGTTGGGTGTACTACTACTACCATTAATTCTTCTAATTTTTTTTTAAAACATGACATTCATTTATTTATTTTGTGGGCAAAACTTCTAATCAGGATTAAAAAAGAATATTAAGTGTGTTTATAATTTTTAATTAAACAAAATTGACGGTAAAAGTAGTAAGTGATTTTTAATTACAAATATACTTAATTTTATGGTAAATTGAACTATTATTTTTTTTTAACAAAGGACTATTAGTATATTTTAAGATAAAAAAAGTATATCTCCTTTATTTTAAATAAGCCGAATCCTAGAGCTTGTAGTTTATTTATTACTCGGTTCTTCGTGCAAGAAAATAATGTTTACTTCTTTCTTCACCCTTTGAAATTGGACTATTTCCCTAGTGTGTTTTGATTGGGTGTAATTGAATTAATTAATAATTAAGTTAACGTTGGTCAGAAAGAAAGAAACATTTAAAAATATCATTAAATACGGTCTTGAAGGTGACTTTCTGAATTCAAACATAAAAATATTATTTAACGTTGGATATATTGAATCTAAGGATCATGCAGACAGATCTCAACTCTTGACTCAGTTTTGGTCTTTTTGTGCCAATTTGTACTAGCCCGCTATGGCAACCAATTGTTCATGCTGTCTACTAATTACTCAAAACCAACAGACTAGAAAAAACAAATAATTTTATTCTCTAACTTGTTTTTACTTGGTCCTCTAACCTTTTTGTTGTCTATTTCTATTAAGTAGTTGATTTTAAGAAAACTTAACAAAGTATTATAATTGCCACAAAACCAGTTGTAATTAATTGACATAAAACATTAAAATATCATCCTCACAGACAGTCTCAATCGAAAAAAAAAATAGTAAAAATGTCAACCTAACAATTAAATGACACGGAAAAAAATAACGTTAAAAAATAAAATATTTATTTAACAAACTTTATTGAATAAATACCTGTTTTTGTTCAGAAAGATATAGAAGGTAGCAGTTTGAATTTTTTTTTTATTTTTTTTTATCTTTAAGTAATTATGTTAGTTAAATAAACATATATTTTTAAAATATACAAAATTATATAAAGTATCACATGGTAGATGACATTATAATTAATTAAGGTTCATAATAAGTTTTATTGTTAGTGGGTGGGCACGAGGGTTTTATCAACATGCCTTTTTTTTTATTATTATTATTAACTTTATCTAATATTTTATCATTTTCTTGTTTAAATCCTAAGATTTCAACACGATAATATGTGAATTGCATGAAAGTGTTTCGCCTGATTTTAGTTTTATATGATTCCTAAAGCTTTAACCCTTTTCATCTTTTTGAGGGGTTATTGCGGATTGATTAGACCAGTTGTGATAGTGATGGGTTTTGAGAAAGCCTCCATTTCCAAAACTATACCAATGTATATCTTTGTGTGGGAAAAAGGTTTTAGAACATTGCTTTCGCGAAATTTTAATAATATCAAGTATAAAGATAACATTATTAAATAAATAAATAAATAATCAATTTTATAGGATAAAATTAAATATTTTTCTTATTTTTAATATAATATTATAATCAAATTTAATTATTTAGAAACATAAAAATTCTCATCAAAATATAATAAAAAATAAAAAATTAATGAAATTTCACATCATCTTAAAATACATTAATATTATAGATAGATATAATCTTCATTTTATTGATTTAATTTTATAAAATTAAATTAAATATCATTCTTATTTCTAATAAATAAACAAAATTTAATTATAATATATTATGTGTTAATTGTATAATTTAAATAAGTAGTTAAAATTAAAATCGTTCGCAATTTTTACCGTTTTTAGAAAAAGGTGTGTGGGTACGAGAGAAAAAAATAGTACTAGTATAATTTAAATATATAATTAAAATTAATTAGAGTGACTTTTTTCATATACAAGGTGGAATATACATGAAAAAAATATTGAAAAATATCTTTATAGATAAAATTCTGGTCTACGTGTTTGAATTTGTAATCTAAAGTCAAAATGCATTTCGATTACTTTTTTTTCTATTCATTATTTAGTTAATTCTATTCATGTTTAACGAAGAGTTGATATGACAAAATTCAAACACAAGAATATATAATAATTTTATTTCACCAAATAATATAGCAATCAATAGAAATAAACTTTTTATAGAAGAATTTTACCTTTAAATAGAATTTTTTAAATATTGCACGCGTATTTTAAATTCTTGAAAAATATAAATTGAAATTAATTGTGTTACTAATAATAAATACTATAGAAATAAATTATTAAATCATAAAGAACCCCATCATCTTTATGCAAACTATACTTGTATTCTTTGATGTTTTACTGGTATACTATAATTCTGTTAATACATAGTTTCTTTTTAAAGTGAAGTAAATGTATTGCAACTACATTTTGAGTTCAAAACTGTTTTGCAACAATTCTTACGAAATCAGAGCATCTTCAATTTTATCTACTTAAGATATGGACAAAATAACTTATAGTTAGTAAAAATATTTCTCAAATTTTTAATGTGATTTTTTTATATAATGGGAAGGTTTATATTTTTCCAATTAATTATAAACTTAACTGTGACTACGGATTATTTTATGGATAATATATATACATATATACATTACATTTTATAATAGTTATTTTAAAAATATTTTAAGATTTGGTTTATTATTGAATGACGATAAACATTTATATATAAAATAAAAATGTTGCAAGAACAAAATCTGAAAAGTAAAGACCAAAACACTGTGATCCTGGTTCTCATAAACTAGAGCAACTAATTAAGTTCCTTTTCTATATCAAGTAACTGCACAAAAAGAATGAAAGAACAAGTATTCAGCAAATGTTTCCTCTCAGAACAGTTTGCTAGCAAATTCGTCTGTTTCAAAAACTCCTTCCATGCGACAGGAAGCAGATTTAGAAGCAAGTTCCCTCAGTTGTGACACACTTCTTCCCAACTTCAAAGCCATCTTCATTTCAAACAGTTCCCCGTTTTCCCTTCTCTCCAAATCTTCCTCTTCCAAAGCTGATTCAACTGATGTTTCCAGCATCTTGAAGAACCCACCAGAGGCTTTGTACATTTCAAAAACCATGCCTACCTGCCCTCCATGCTCAAAACTGTTAATTGCTGCAGCCAATGACCCAGCCATGAGAGGCACTAACGAGAACCAAGAATCATTGCCTACAAATGCAGATCCTGCTGCTGCAATTCCTGTGAGTAAAGGACCTGCAATGGCCAAAGTCTTGTTAACCTTCAACACCATGTTCCCAAGCCTCTCATAGTCCTCACTGTCTTTTCTCTTCACCACCTCAATAACCTCCCTCATTTCCATTTCTAGTTCCTCATTCCATCCATTCGTTTTTCCCGTTCTCTGTGACTTTCCTTTTCTCTCGCGAAGTTTGGAAGGCCACCACACAGCAGGCTCAAACTTCTGAGGGAATTTCTCAAGCATAGCTCCCCCCAACAAAGGAAGTGGAAAAGCCTTGTCAAGCGCTAAAACCCTCTCCATTGCACCCTTCACATCTTCCTCGTTAGGTTTCCCGAGTGCAATTGTGGTTTCGATTTCTCTCTGAAGGTTCCTGAACAATCTAGAAGCATTTCTTTGTTCCTCCGTGAGTTGAGATGGCTGGATCTTGTTCATGACGAGTAACATCCCCGTGGCTGCTGAAAACAACAGTGCAGAAGAAAGCTTCAAAGCCAAAAGCGGTGCACCTGCACTACACGTGGCTGCAACACCAGCCATGGTTGTGGCAGTGAGTGTAATCATGTTGATGGAGTTCAAAAGCAGCGTGTTCCAGTTGTCACGTTGCTCGCCAATGTTGTTGTGCATTTCAACCCTGTCAGCTACAGCTTCCAGGATTGCATAGAGTTGGATAAGGGCATCAGAGTTTGTAGAATGCTGTTGCTCATCAATACCTTCGTGCAGCCGTGTGTTCTTTTCTGATAAAGGACTTGTGTCTCTGGATTTTAATTCTTCGGCCTTCTTTAAGGTTCGTATCTTTGGCACTGAAACATCGACCATCGGGAGCTTTGGGACGTGGATTGCAGCATTTATCATTTTCCTTGCAGACAAGGAAGAATAAGAAAGTAGAGATGAGATTTGTATGGAAGTCATGAAGATTAATTGAAGTTTTTTTTTTTTTTTTTTTTTTTTTTTTTTCTCTACGGGATATTTGCTTTGTGTGTTTAGGAAAGTGGGGTGGTTGATGAGGAAATAGTTTTATGGTGTTGGTAATTAGAAGCGCTGTGTTAGTATTTATAATGAAACCAAAGGGGAGGGGAAAGAGTCAAAATCAAATAAGGAAGGAAACCAACGATTGACCAGTTTTAATTGACATGGTCTCTGTTCAATATTCCCAGCCTTGTTTGTGGTTTGTCATGGGCCTCAACATGCGACGTAGTAAACCCACAAGGCTGCACTACGTCACTCGCAAGACGAAAGAATTTGCATGCAACAACTTCTATGAATGCGTTTTCTTCTTTCCCCCATATCGTTTATTTTCAGTTAGTTATTTTTACATTTTCAATATATTGGTTATTTCTATTGCCTCATTGGATATAGTCTTTCACTTTGAAGTTTCTTTGGCCTCACAAATTACGTTCTAAAGTGCCCCACACTTGAAAAGTTGAACTTTCGGTACACAATATATAGCTTGTGTTGTGGACTTTAAGAGAAAATTAAGACTTGAAGAAAAAGTAGTTTCAGACTGAAATTTGGTTTTAGACACTCTACAAATTAAATAAATGTTTGTGTATGACAATGTAAATAATGTTGCTAAGATGTTATAGCTGTTTTTGTCCTTCATGACATATTTCAGGAGCAAAATCGAGCACACAGTTTTTTATATGAAAAATTCAATTTTGAAAATAGAATTACCTTGTTTGGTTTGAACCAAGATAAATATGAATGAGTGTTTTGGATGGTTGACCATTGATAGAAGTGAAGAGCAATGTAACAGGAAAGTTGGCGCCTTTAATGTATAGCAGAGTTGAATTGAAACAATAGTGTGCTGAGGAAGATGCTCTGAAATAACTTGCGCTTGGCGAAAAGTATCATACATCTCATATTTGCATGTTTGAAAGATATTTATATGTTTGAAAACAATTTTATTCATTGTTGAAAATTTAAATTTAAATTCAAAGCTATACTTAGTTTTCTTTGTAGCAATATAGAAAAGAGATGACACCCTTGGCCAATCTTATCAAGTAGCTAGGTTACCATTGCTTAATAGACTTATAGAACAAGAGATTTTATAAATTAGCTCAGGGAGATGATATCAAGAATGATTTCAAAGAAATTCGAATATAATCATGTAGAAAACAAGACTTGATATGTGAGTAAACAACACCATATATCCTCCTCTCTCCACCAAGAGCCTATTAGTCCCGTGGTGTGGTTCAGAACTTCAAATGCCAACCACACATGCATTAACAAATCATAAGGTCAAACAAATTAAGATTAGATCATGATAAAATTCAAATAATTCACGATTTTTTTTTATCTAATCGTATAGAAATTCTTTGCGAATAAATGATATTCGTTATGAGAGTTAGGAACAAAAAGGATCTACCATCCATGATGTTGCTATTATAGACAAAGTCAATTTGCATATAATAAATGGAATGCTAAAAGTTAATCTTTAAAAAAATGATTAATTTACTTTTGCATAAACATTAGGCACTACAGCGAAAATCTTCTTTAAACATTAGTATAATGTGTTGCTTAACTTTTTGCCACTTAGAATATTCCCAGAAATAACTAGCGCACAATGACAACTTTGACGAAAACAAACATTGTCATATATATTTTTTTTCATTATTATTAACGAAAGCTTTTTTAGTTTTTCAGTCATAAATACTCCCTTCTACTTATAGTTGACTAAGTAAAAGATATTCATTATTCTTTGGATTAATATAGTGTATTCTTCCACGTTCTCCTCTTGTTAATTAGTGTATTCGAATTTTTTGGCTTTTCAAATCAATAGATATAACATACTTCTATCTATCTCTATATATATTTATCTATAATTATAGATAAAAATATAAATTATATCTGAGATGTGGTAATGATCATGTGCAGTATAGAGGGTGAAATATAATACTTTATCATGTCATGCTCAATTATGAGTTTGAAGAAAAAAGTTAATTTATTTTTTTTTATTTATGAGTAGTTTGTTTATAAAATAATACTAATTAAATTATAATGATGTGGTAAATAAGTTTAATTTTAATTTTTAAATATATGTTAGTACTAGTTTTTATTTTATATTAATTAAGAGCCATGTGTTGCACGGGGATGAGACATTAGATTTAGTTCTGTAAAAAGTAAAATAAGAAGAGCACGTGGCGTGGGTTAATGTCGTGTCCTCCTCACACACTTAGCTTGGGAAGATATTTTGAGAGAATAACAATAATACATACATACATAGAGTTACAGACCCAGGCATACAGACTCAGTTACCTGCTATTCGGTCAAAGGGTGGGAGCAAGATGGGTTCTTTGGCAAAGAAGGGGCTCAACAATTACGTCAAACAGCTCCAGGAACACCCTTTGAGAACCAAGGTTCATCATCTTCTTCTTCATCTGCATCGATCTCACTTTCAATTTTCGTTATTTTTTTTTTTGGCATCCATTTTCGTTGACTGCTTCATTGGGGGTCAAATTAGGTCATCACTGCAGGTGTAGTTTCAGCGATCAGCGATATTGTCTCTCAGAAACTTTCTGGGATACAGAAACTCCAATTAAAACGTCTCCTTCTCAAAGTGGTGCGTTTCTTTTCCTTTTTTATTTTTTTATTTAGTTTAATCTTGTTCTATCCAAATTCTAATTAGTATAGTAACATGATTTTCTGATATGAGTAAAGTGCAGTCACTTGAGTGATGATGATTAATTTTCCCTCCCTTGAAAGATTAATATGTGCTATACTCTGGGGTTAATTTGCTCCTTCTTTGTGACTGTTGTTAAGTGTTGACCGGACAAGTGTTCAAAATTTCATGGCATCTACGTTAAGTCTGCTAATTGATAGAAATTGGTGGTCCAAACTATTTGTTAGTGATCTTACGGTTGAAAAGGAAAAAACACACTCTTACAAGGTTTATTATCAGTTAATAGTCTCATTTACATTCAAATAAAGACTCAATTGCATTATTTACCCCCAGCTATTATAATTGTGCGGTTTTAATCCTCAAACATATGACAAGTCATTTTCACATCACCTGGTTCCAATCAGTGAAGGGTTTAAAATCACACAATTGAAATTCAGGAGGTTAAATTGCACATTGACCATACCTGAAGGACTCAATAGGCACTTGAAATGTAGAGAACTAGAATCGGGCAAATTTTCGTATCAGAGGGACCAAAAATGTTAATAAATCTAACACAAACTAAGTGTGTGCACATTGATATCTGTGGAAAGGGAAGTGTAGTTCTTAAATGCAAGGAAATCATATGTAATTGAAGCATTTCAAAGAAAAGTGTATTTTGTTCTTCTGATATTTATGTGGAAGAGAAAGTGCTGGACTATTCCGGATGGACTTTTGGGGGTTTGGGTGACAGAAAATTGGAACTCTATTAACAAAAGCTGTTTTTAAAAACGCTGAAATGATTCTTCTAATTTTTTGGTTTCACCAAAGTAATAATTAACATGTTACCGCCCATTTCAATGAACTATGCCATGCCTAAATAGATAGACGAAATAGCAGCAAATCCAGTATGCTTCTTGCTCAAATCTTTATGTTTTAACAACTACTACAATAATGAGTGACTTGTGCCTTTTCTTATATACTTTCATTTATGCTCTAGGAATCATAAATCGTTTATTGCATGCAGCTTTTTGGAGCCGGTTATATTGGACCCTTTGGACACTTTTTTCATTTAATACTGGACAAAATTTTCAAAGGAAAGAGAGATACAAAAACTGTGGCGAAGAAGGTAAAACTGCTGAACCTTCTGTGCGAACTATATCTATCACGACCTGAATTCAGGCATTGCATTTGGACCCGTGTCATCAATCTGCTATTCTTACAGTTTTTGCATCATGAAATATCTGCTAACTTAAAATGCTATAAATGAATCAAATGCTTAAACTAGTTTCTGAACATATTTGTTCAAGAATTTTTTGTTATTAAATGAACGGGTTTTTTAACCTGTCCCAACACAAACTATATATCCTTTTGTAATGAAATTCTTTCATTGGTCTTTTGTTTTCAGGTTCTGATTGAGCAGTGTACATCTTCTCCTTGGAACAATTTGCTTTTCATGATTTATTACGGATTAGTTGTTGAAGGTTTGTCAGTTTTCAACGTCTAACTTCTTTATTCACATTGAAGAAACATGGAATTCTCCAAGTAAGATACAGGTGGAAAGTAGTCAGAAGGATAATTCTCATCAGTGTCAAAAATAGGATGCCCAACTCTGACATTCCTGGTCAACTATTTGTTTAGTTATTTAGAAAATAAAAAAGAGACTTTCTATCCTAAAAATGATTTGTAAAGTGAATGACATAAATACTTGGTTGGTGAATTGTGTACTTCTGTTTATGATGGAAAATTGGATTTCAGGCCAACCTTGGGTGACTGTGAAAGCTAAAGTTAAGAAGGATTATCCCTCAGTGCAGTACACTGCATGGACGGTAATATTCTATTTCAAGTGTAGAAAATGACAGAATTTGATGGAAGATCAAATTTTTTTTTTTTTTTTTTTTACTTTAGAACTCCCTTGAATTTATCCGCAGATCTCGCCAATTGTGGGGTGGATAAATCACAAATTCTTGCCTCTTCATTTCCGTGTTGTTTTCCACAGCGTAGCAGCATTTTTCTGGTACGTGTTTTTTTTATTTTGTTTTCCTTTCCTCTGATTTCCTGCGATCATTCCAATTTCCCTTTGGTAAACAAACATCTGAATTGAGATAATTGGCTATGTATTTATTTCAGGTCGATATTCTTGAACCTTCGAGCACGATCTCTGGCATTGACTAAAGCCTGAAGCAAAGAAGATTACTGTTTACAGTCTTTAAAGTAGATGCTCCTGCTTGCTTGTGAGACTGTTACCCTTTCCAGAGTAGTTTTCATCAGTTTAAACAAATCAAAAGAAGATCTTTTAGTTTGTCTTGATTATTTAGACATGATCAATTTGTGGTGCTTGGAATATAGTTGGTTGTGAACGTTGATGTGTTTGGACAAGGGTTGATTAAAAATATTTTGAACGGAATTGATTATGATTAAAATTGATTTTAAAGCGATGTGATTTATGTTTAAATGTTTTCATTATGAAAGCAAATTAGTAATAAAATTTGGTATAAACTTTTTATTCAATGTAAAAAATATTTACAGTTGCTTCAGTTTAGAATCAATCATGGATTCATAAATAATTCTTTATCATAGATTCATAACGTAGAAATTAACTTAATATGACGTTAACCAGCGGTTTAACCTGATTCCAAAGAAACATATATGAAATTAAACAACACTAGCTAAGCACTAAGCAGTTCATTGTTCTTGGAAACTTTGTCATGGGGTGAATATATTTTTTGAAAAATCTTGATTCATTTAAGAGGAAATTCATTACCATCATTTGATGCAGTTGATCCTATAAATATGGTTGCAGAAACCATGTGGAAGGTTACAACTGATGCTCCAAATAAAAAATTCTGAAGTAATAACCATTCATATTCATAACGTGGAAAGATTGATAAACAGAACAGCACAAATACATAATTGATAAACATACTAGTGCGATTTTATGCACTTCTACGAGAAAGGGTAGGAATGAAGGGACTGAAGCATCGGAAAAGAGTCAAAACTCCCAATGTACTTGTACTGTCATTTGTCAAAAACTATGTTGTTGATGCCTTAGAGGAATATGTGGCACGTGTTCTATTTCAAGTCACGTGAAAATCGAGACAACTAACTATTCGTGTTAGGTTAGGTTTCTAATTTGTTGAGACAACTCCACTGGCTTTTCATAGATACTAGCAACTGCAAATACCAAAAATAAGGGGTCATTGACTTCTTGCCTTATAAAATTGAAAGTAGAGTCAGAATATATATCCTAATATACTTATTATATTTTACACAATAATTTCAACAAAAACAATTTAGAAAGGCTACAACACAATAAGTATATAGAATATATACACTTGTCATATCATTCTTTCTTTTTTTTAAATGTTTCAACAGGAAAATTTAGAAAATAGAAAGAGTATGATATGATATGATTATTTTTTGTTGAAGACGTGATATGATTAAATTAAATACAATATCCTTCCTTTCATTTCGTTGTTATCAAAATTTAATTGATATGAAATAATTCCAGTTTCTTAAACATTTTCAACATGTGAATTTCAATATAACAATCATAATTTGATTGTAAATTACGGTATACTTTTTTAATGATTGTATTCTTAACATTTAATTTGTACATTAGTATAGTAAATATTTTTATATGTTGGCAATATATATATGAAATTATAACTGATATAGTAGGTCAAATACTTGGTTGAAAAATGAGGTATAGTATTCAACATGAAACAAGGTGAAGGATGTGTGAACATGAGAGAAACCTTGGCCTTTTTTTAATGAAATTGCTCAAAAGTTGTAATCAGAATGCGTGGGGATTTTGTGAGGAACTGGTCCCAAAAAGAAACCTCTGACCATGATGAGTTATTCTTGACATATATGTAGCATTAATTTCAAAGTGATCATATCTTGTGAACAATTGCGACACCATGCAGTCATCAATTATGGAAAATCAATTTTACTCAACCCACGTGAAAGAATGCAATAAATGTGAAAAAAAAAAGGACATGGAGTTATACGTTCTTAAACTCTGTCAAATGTTTTGATTAAATAAAAGCATGCTCTAAAATATTAACCATAACCATGTGTTTTAGTTTGTTGTGGAGGTTTACGTATGTTTTATTATAGCAGATATTTTTTTCATATTGTGGTTGTTGGTTGTCAAAAAAGCAAGTTAAAACATTCAACAAGACGTTCATTTTTTATGTTTTTCAAGGTCATTAACTATACTCTTCTTCAGGGCATGATTTATTTTATTTAACAATTTCTTTTTTGTTGGTATTACAGCCTTGCAGGGTTTACTCGTTATTTCTGTTGAAAGTCAGCATAGGGAGGGAGAACTCGAAGCAGAAGTAGCCAAAATGAAAGGACAAGATGGTTTCCATGCCCAGAACATATTCAACCATGCTGTGAAACTTCTCAATCACCTTCCACCTGCTTATATATATGCATGTGCTATAAGAGAAGGTGTCACTGATAAAAATATTTCCGAATTGTATTGAATATGATAGCACAATATATACATGAAATACAGAAACATTCTAGGCTATAATTACGCTAACCATTATAGTCGGTATCCTAAATTTGTCTATTAACAGATATGAAATTAATGTGCATCGCTGTCATGCCAAGCTAAATATGGAAAAAAATAATCATGTAGAATCATGTCATGATACGGTATTTGTAATCGTATATTCTATGTATATTCTATGTTTATCACCCTCCCTCAAGATGGAGCATGAAGGTTATGAATGCCCAACTTGCCTAAAAAAGAACCAAATTTAGTGGCGCCAAGAGATTTGGTGAAGAGATCAGCCAGTTGATGATGAGTGGACACATAGGAGGGTTGGATATGATTGTGTTGTATTTCATCACGAATAAGATGACAATCCACTTCAATATGTTTTGTCCAGTTCATGAAACACAGGATTCTTGGCAATGTGAAGGGCGGCTTGGTTGTCACGATAGAGAGTCATAGGGTCGGTGTGAGTAATGCCTAGGCTCGAAAGAAGGCCTTGAAGCCATTTCAACTCACATGTCGTGTTGGCCATAGAACGATATTCCGCCTCGGCGGATGATCGAGAAGCCGTATGTTGCTTCTTGGTTTTCCAGGAAACGGGGGATTGACCAAGGAAAATAAACCAACCGGTGAGAGATCTTCGAGTGAGAGGACAACTTGCCCAGTCAGAGTCACACCAACCATAAAAACGAAGGTCACTCTCTCTTTTTAAAAGCACACCCCGACCCGGGCTGCCCTTTAAATAGCGTACCACGCGAGTGCAGCCCGCCAATGCTCCTCGACGCGGTTGGTGCATGAATTGAGATAGGACATGAACAACTGTAAGATAATTCAGGTCGTGTAAAACACAAGTAAATAAGGCGACCGACGAGACGTCGATATTGACTCGGGTCGGAAAGTAGTTCGCCATCGACCAATGCTAAACGATGATTTTCTTCGATTGGCGTGGACACGAGTTTCCCTCCAAGCAATTCCGCTTCAGCTATGATGTCCAACGCATATTTCCGTTGACACAAGAAAATTCCTGTAGGAGATCCGGCAACCTCCACCCCAAGAAAGTATTTTAATTTCCCTAAGTCCTTTATATGAAAACATTGATGAAGATAATCTTTGAATTGCGCAATGTCTTCATGATGATTGCCGACAATGACTAGGTCATCCACGTAAACTAACACAACCAGTTCGACATCTCCTTTGCGAAAGATGAACAAGGAGTGATCGGACGAAGAACGTTGAAATCCATATTGAACAAGAGCGAGTTGAGAGCTTGGCAAACCAACACCGAGGAGCTTGACGAAGACCATAAAGGGACTTGCGGAGACGACACACCATACCCTTTTGAGACACCAAGAACCCCGGCGGCATTTTCATGTACACAGCTTCCTCAAGATCGCCGTGCGAGAAAAGCATTATGGACATCCATTTGATGGAGTTCCCGGTCTTTGGCTGCCGCCACTGCCAACACCTGTCCGAATGGTGACCATCTTTGCCACTGGGGCAAAGGTCTCGTCATAGTCAATCCCCTCAACTTGGTGATTTCCCAAGACAACTAATCGGGCTTTGAAGCGTTCAACGCTCCCATCGGAATGATATTTGATTTTATAAATCCACTTACAACCCGGAGGCTTCTTCCCTGCTAGGTAGAGGAGTAATGTCCCATGTTTCATTACTTTGGAGGGCCTCGAATTTCACTAGCCATGGCATCTCTCCATCTAACATCCCGAACGGCCTTCAAAGAAATGCACAGGTTCTCGCTTCCGCATGAAGGGTCGCAAGAAAGGTTCGGTGGGGGAAGGAGAATTTAGCACAATTTAAGTACTTTGTCAAACCGTAAGGCATACCCGAGGAAGCTGAATGTGGAGTGCGAATTGAGGGACCGAGTTGTAAAGTGGTGTTAGTGACATAATCACGAAGCTTCACGGATGGCTTTCGTACACGAAGACCTTTCCCCGGGGATGCAGGGACAGGTATGCTCCTCGAGAACCTCTAGTTCTGTCATCATAGAGTCGGCTTGTTCCGGTGGGAGAACGATCTCGGGTGGGAGGCTCTTGTTCATGGCATTCAGCGTGACCCTCCCTGAACTCAGTTGTGGGCACATCTTCTGTTGTGGGGTTAACGTCATCAGTCTCCACAACGTGTTCTGCATTGTTCATTGCACCAAGTCCAGGCAATGCTTCCTCGACAATGCCAACATCAACAGTAGGCAATCCTACCTCTGAATGTCTACTGTGGGCAAGAGAGGCAAACGGGAATTCATGTTCTACAAACTTAACATCTCTCGAAGTCCAGAAGACTTCTCTTTCCAGATCAAACAATTTCCAGCCCTTTTGTCCGATTGAATATCCAACAAATACATTCTTGCGACTTCTACTTGCAAATTTGTCACCTTTCCTATCTTGGTTATGTGCATAACACAAGCATCCAAATACCCGTAGATGGTCATAAGTGGGTGGCTTCCCATTCAATATTTCATATGGAGTTTTTCCATGGAGAACGGTTGAGGGTGTACGATTGATCAAGTATCCTGCGGTCAAAATGCATTCTCCCCAGAATTGAAGTGGAAGTTCTCCCTGAAATCGTAGAGCACGAGCTACATTTAGGATGTGTCGATGTTTTCGTTCGGCTCTCCCATTTTGTTGAGGTGTTCCAGTGCATGAGGTTTGATGGAGTATCCCATGTTGCTGAAAATATCGTTGAAGACACATAAACTCAGTTCCATTGTCACTTCGTAATATTTTGACTTGTTTCTCGTATTGTCGTTCTATTAAAGCGATGAAATGCTTTAAGGTTTGTGACACATCTATCTTATTATTCAAGAGATATATCCACACAGCTCGAGAACAGTCATCAACCAAAGTGAGAAAGTAAGATGCACCACAAGACGAGGGAGTTCTATATGGACCCCATAAATCACAATGTATTAAATCAAATATATTGGATGCTTGAAAATCACTTAAAGGAAATGTGTTTCTACATTGCTTTGATCTCTCACACACTTCACATACCCGAGTTGTATCCGTATTTCTATTCACGCTGTTCAGATGCGGAATTTTTCTAACAATCTGGTAGGCAGGATGTCCCATTCGCTTGTGCCAAATCTCTAGTTGATTTTCTGCATTGGTCTGATACGCCTTTATGCCACTCACACCATGATACCAATAGAGTCCCTCTTTTCGTTCACCCGCTCCAATCAGCATCCTCGAAGTGTGGTCCTGCATTGCACAAAATCTATCAGTAAAATGTACTGTACATTTTACTTCATTCGTCAATTGTGAGACTGAAATCAAATTGCAATTCAATTTCGGAACATATAGAACATGTTTAAGTTTCAATCCTCCATCAAGGAAAACTGATCCTTCTTTGTTTGCCAGCACCAATTCACCATTTGGTAGTCCCACTGGGCACCCTTCCAAGGCTCGACTCTCCCTCAAGTTTTCTAGTGTTCCTGTCATATGATTAGAGGCGCCACTATCAATAATCCACAAGTCACATGCTTTCTTACCGAGTCATCTTTTCGGTTTCATTTGCCTTGCGAGAATTCAACATTCGTTGTCAAGATCTCGCCATTGCTCATTACTCGATCCCGCTACTTCGGTTTTTCGGTTGAACCAACGTTATCCGCACCGAGTGTGCGCCATATTGACGCGAGCCGTTCCTCCTTTCCCTCGGAAGGTTCCTGTTCTTTGTTGATTTTTTCCATCGTTTCTATCGGTTCGTGGTCTCTCTCCCCACCATTCTGGGTAACCAATGATCTCGAAGCAATTGCCTTTGTCATGTCCCTTCCTTCCACACTCGCATGCAAACAACTAATTTTTCTTTCGCTTCATTGCGCAACTTGTTCCCGGTTTCCGCTCGCATAGCCATTCCCACGATCATTCCTCGCTCTTCTTTAGACCTGGTGATTGTTCTCACCCTTTCTTCTTGCACCATGGTGGCATACACCCGATTCAACGAGGGTAATGGATCTGTTGCCAAAACATTTGACCGTGCAGTTCCATAGCCCTCATCATCTAGCCCCATCAAGAACCGATGAATTTTTTCTTCTTCTCTTCGTTTCTCAAGTTGCGTCATAATATTACAATTGCATCCCCCACATCTACACCGTGGGATTTGCTCGTAATTTGCCAGTTCATCCCACAACGTTTTCAACTTCCCATAATAGGAAACCATAGTCATTCCTTGTTGTTTGCATTCCGCCAACTCGACTTTAGTCGCTGGATTCTTGGTCCGTTCACGATCGAGAATCGTTCCTTGATGTCATCCCATAGGTCCTTTGCGTTTTCCATGTATGCAACAGATGGAACGCAAACTAGGTTCTATAGTGTTTAGTATCCAAGATACAAGCATCGATTGAATTGTCCACCAATCTTCTATCTCGGATGTGTCTTCTTCAGGTTCCTTATGAGTTCCATCTATGAAACCCCATTTCCTTCGAGCCCGCAGAGATATCTTCACGGCCCTTGCCCATTCCTCGTAATTCTCTCCTCGTAATTATACCTGTGTAATTACATTTCCAGGATTATCACTGGCACTCAGATCGTATGGCGATGGTGTTTTCTTCACCGCCTCTCCTTTCTCTGCCATTTTAGAAGTACGACTGTGTTCTCAGGCTGTTGGATATCGAGTTTGGTTCGCTCCGATACCATGATAAAAATATTTCCGAAAACCCCCGCCTTGTATTGAATATGATAGCACAATATATACATGAAATACAGAAACATTCTAGGCTATAATTACGCTAACCATTATAGTCGGTATCCTAAATTTGTCTATTAACAGATATGAAATTAATGTGCATCGCTGTCATGCCAAGCTAAATATGGAAAAAAATAATCATGTAGAATCATGTCATGATACGGTATTTGTAATCGTATATTCTATGTATATTCTATGTTTATCAGGCACAATTCAATCCCAAGCGTTTCTTCAATCACAAGCACTCTAACCATTACTAGTTAAGGCATTCATAAACACCAAAATACTGAGTATTGACACACTAGTACTAATAGCACATGGGAACCTCTATGCCTTCAAGCAACTGTTCTTCTTTCTCATATTTCAGTACACGAAGAATAGCTGCCACAATCAATGTGCCGAAGATCAAGGTAACCAAGATTTCCACTCCAAGGCTTCCAAACAGAAGCTTGGTCGCGGAATTGGATTATCTAAACAATTGCATTTCAACCACCACCGCAACTCGGGCAAAAGAGGATACTTACTACTCCAAAATCAACACTACCGGTTCTACAACATCTGGAATACGCACACCAAATTCCATGGAGGTTGTAAAGCTTCATTTGATTATGGAGATTGTAGAAGATAGAATGGAGATGCACAAGAATATTGGAGCACAGCGTGACAACTGGAACCGTCTTCTAATGACATCTGTTGATATGATCACTCTTTCTGCTTCAACTATGGTTGGCCTTGCAGCTGTTTGTCCAAGTGGAGCACCTATTGTGGCCTTGAAGGTGTCCTCCACAATTCTTTACATGGCAGCCACAGGGTTAATTTTGGTCATGAACAAAATTCAGCCATCACAGCTTGCGGAGGAGCAGAGAAATGGTGCTAGGCTGTTCAAGCAGCTCCATGGAGAACTCAGAACAATGATTTCTCTTGGGAATCCTACTGAGAGTGATGTTGATGAAGCAATGGAGAAAGTGTTTGTGTTGGACAGGGCCTTCCCTCTTCCTCTATTGGGCTCAATGCTTGAAAAATTCCCTCAAACTGTGGAGCCAGCTGTGTGGTGGCCTAGACAGAAGCAAAGGAGTCCAAGAAAAGAAGAGTTAGGTGGGAAACTGACAGGGAAGAATGGATGGGATGCAAGGTTGGAGGCTGAAATGAGAAAGATTGTGATGGTTTTGAGAAAGAAGGACATGGCAGAGTACTTGAGGTTGGGTAAAGAAGTTTTGAACTTCAACAAGGTATTGGCAGTTTCTGGTCCGCTACTCACTGGCCTTGCAGCGTTGGGTTCATGCCTTTTGGGTTCTGTGAATGCATCTTGGCCTATGATGCTTGGGGTTGTTGGAGGAGCTTTGGCAAGTGTTGTCAACACATTAGAGCATGGGGGGCAAGTAGGGATGGTGTTTGAGATGTATAGGGCAAATTCTGGTTTCTTTAAGCTCATGGAAGAGAACATCGAACTAAATATTAATGAAGAAGATCCTCATAAAAGAGAAAATGGGGAATTGTTTGAAATCAAAGTAGCTTTACAGCTAGGTAGGAGTCTCTCAGAACTCAGGCAATTCGCTGCTGCAGTTTCATCATCACATGAAGAGAAAGGTTCTGAAGAGTTTGCTAGCAAGCTTTTCTAGTATTATTAAACTAAGTTTGTTGTTAGTTGTTTATTATCAAGCTTTTTTGTAATATTCTCATTACTAGAGATTGCTTGTGAATAGTTTGTATAAAGAATTATTACTATGTGCACTAACTAGCTTTTTTCTTTTTTTGGTAAACAATTTCTACAGTTTAACTTAGCTCCTATATTGTTCATCACCACAACCAGTTGTTAGCTTAGATCCACAGCTAATAAGTTTTTTATTTAGTCATTTACATTGCGTCAGGGTACTGGAAACAAGTGCAAAATAAAAATGAATTAAAACCAGACCCACGTGAATGAGTGGAGTTTGCGTCCCTTATTCTTTGGAATCTATATTTCTCTTAATTTGGTGTTTATTTGCCACTGTATCCAATGAGCATTACGACAGAGAAGAATTTGTATCAACACTACGTTTCACGTTTCGACAGCGTGGAAATTCCGACGTTAGATAATCCTATCCTATATAGAATATAAGATAACTAATCATTTTCCAATGTTGTATTATACGAGTTGAATAATAAAAATAATGAATGGGAATGGTTAAACCTGTTCATGTGGAGTGTTTCTGGTTCTGGAAAGATTTTTCAAGCTGTCTCCAATGGCGATCTTCTAATCGAACTAAGTATAAAGGTAAAAATAATACTTTAATTTCTGTAAGACAAATACCTGATTAAATTCTTATTTTAATATGTATACGGGTGAAATACCAATGTTTTGGAGTGTGAAATACATCGAAACCATCAATTATAAAAGTATAAAAAAATAATGTAACTAATACATTTATTTAGCCCTTGTTTGATCCATGAATGAATTGTTATCCAGTAAATGAACGAAAAGAGGGACGAGGAGTTTGAAGATATTTACACACATGGGTTTATTACGGACAACTCATAATGGTCGTATTTATCTATTATAGGCCATTACATTTAGTATTGGTAGACCCATATAATAACTATCATAGTTATATCTTATCTTTTTTTTTTTTCACTTCTTCGTAATATAATAACTATCATAGTTATATCTTATCCTTTTTTTTCACTTCTTCGTAGTAAATTTTTTTTTAATTATGAATACAAGAATTTAAATTTAATACGTAATTTTAATATTTAAAGAATCTTAGTTTTCAGTTTTTAAATCTTTTTTTATATTCATAAGATTAATAAATATTTATTTAGTTCGATGTAACAATAAAAATAAATAAAAATAAAATAAATAGAATATAGAAACTATGCATGCATACGTAAGAATGAATGGAATTCCGTATGTTATGTGAAATGAATAAACGTATTTATACACAGTACAGAAACAAAAAGGAAAGCAACTAACATATAACAGTGCTAACTGTTTTTAACTAACTAAGGTTCAGTTTTTACTTATTCCTAACACATCCCCTTAAGTCAAACAGGTTTTATAACTCCAATAGATTGTCTCAGATACCTAAACCTCTCCCCTTTTAAGGCTTTGGTAAAGATATCTGCCAACTGAACCTCAAATTTACAGTAAACGATTTCAAGCTTCTCTTGATTGACTTGTTCCCTCAAAAAATGGAACCTAGTTTCAATGTGCTTTCTCCTACCATGAGCAGCAGGATGTTTTGCTAAGTCTATAGCAGATTTATTGTCCACCATTAATTTTGGACAGCTATTCATCTTCACCTTTAACTCTTCTAAGAGCATTGCTAACCATGCAGCTTGGTACGCAGCTTGAGAAGCAGAAATGTATTCTGCTTCACAAGAGGAAAGAGCTACAACAGGTTCTTTCACGAAATGCCATGAGACAGGTGACCCACAGAGGAAAAATATGTATTCAGCAGTGGACTTCCTATCAATCTGATCTCCGCACCAATCAGCATCTGCGTACCCCTTCAGTGCAACACTTCCTTCGCACCCTTTATTTGGAAACAGCAAGTCAAGGTTCTTTGTCCCTTGCACATAACACATGATACGTTTCACAACATTCATGTGGGTTTGTTTAGGTTCTGTAGACCCCTAATTTTGTCCGGCCTCTCAAAATAAAGGCTAGGGAAACTTCACACGAAAATAAAGTTCACCCGGCTTCATATCAAAAATCGAGAAAGACCTCCCACAACAAGACGGGGTTCACCCATCCACACAATAAAGACTAAGGAGACTTCCTACACGAAGATAAAGCTCGCCCGAAATCTTAATAAAGGCCAAGAAGACTACCTATATGAAGATAAAGCTTCAACGGACATCTATCGGCATCAATCTACGTCCGAAAAAGGAAAGGAAAGCTTCCCGGGGGTCCCAGAACGTGAAAACAGGCCAAGACAGGTTGAGACAGTCGTCCCAAACATCAAAAGACAAGTGAGACGCACGTCTCACCTTTGGGACGCACGTCCCAAGCCCCAAAATTCAAGTGGGACGGCCGTCCCAACCCAAACTGGCCGTCCCACTCTCCCCCCAGCTTGGCCCAGTGCAAAACGCGCAGCTTGGGACAGCCGTCCCAACCCGGACGGCCGTCCCGCATTTCCGAGCAGCGAAATCTATAAATAGGAGCCTCATTTGTCATTCTCCACACCCTGCACAACTCCAAGACTTGTCTTCTTCTCTCCCTCCTTCGAATGATCTCTCCGATTGCCTTTAATAGGTAACAATCGCTTAAGGAATTTGTATTCCGCATTCGATTCTTCTAGAAAATTTAGTCGAATCGAGTTTATTCGAGAGGAGAGTCGTTGTAGAGTGAAGGATTGCCGCAAAGCGTCCTCTCGTATAAAAGACTTATAATATAAAGCTTGCTTCGGAGGTTCTTCTCAATTCTCTTCCCTTTTATTGCTTTATTTATCGCTTTCGTATGCAATGTAGATAAAACCATGTAGATAGCCATATTTAAATACTCGTACAAATAAAATAGGGTAATAGCGTAATTTCTTGTAATCTTTACTTAAATGAATTAATCCGTCATAGGGAACCCGAAAGGGGCGTTGTGGGGTGCTAATACCTTCCCCACACGTAACTAACTCCCTTACCCGACTCTGGTTATAATGACCAAGTTTGGTTTTTATTAAAATCAATGCCTTTTTCTCCTTTTCCAATGTTTATGGTCAAAACATTGGTGGCGACTCCAAAAGAACCCTTTTCGAAAACCTTGCTTCTATTAGAGGATAGTTCAGCGTTGAGCGCCTCGGAAGCAATGAACATATTTTTTAACAAAAAATGCGAGTCTCAACCATCTTTTCGCGACCGCTCGCATTAATGTTCGAGATGTCCCAGGACGTCGGAACGCACGGCGGCGATAGATGCGACTCCACTGGGGAAGCTAGAGAGTTGATCCCATTTAGTGACGGATAAATTCAAACTAAGTAAAGATTTGAAATTACGCCTTTACCCTTTTCTGTATTTTTATTGTATGGCTTTAATAACTGCTGTATGATTATTTCTGCAAATTGTTTGAAATATAAATTGCACACAAAACCCTTGCACACAACAGTCCCTCTATACCCGGGGCAAGAGTGAATACCTATAGGGAGTGGGTGGCGGATACGACCGGCTTGTTGGCACACGGGCTACAACCGTTGCTCGGAAACCACCAACTCAAGGTGATAACTCTCTTCTTTTGGTCTAAGGATGTCGACACGGAGTTCCGTGCATGACCCGAGGATCGAGAGATTGAGAGGTCCCTATAATGGGGGCACCTCGGGGACCTTTGGCCTTGGTGAGAACAGTTAGAACCGCCTAAACCAAGCACGTTTCTGCAGGAAAACCCTACCTCGTGATTAAATAAGCGTGGCTCTGCTCGTGGATGTATGAATTGTGTGTGCATACGTTTGTTGCATTTGTATTGATGCATTAGCATAGGATAATCATACAACAAACAAAAAAATGAAAAACCCTAAAAATCACAAAAAGTGATAAGATAAAAGACCTTTATCTCAGACAGTCTTCAGTTAAGCTAGTCTAGTTTCAGGTTCTTTGTAAGCTAAGTAGCCACGTTGACCGACAGAAGAGATAAATGGTCATAAAAAATATAAAAACAAATCAAAGCCATGAAAATACCTCTGTTACAAAATAAAAGTTTTTAACAAAAGTCCTATAATTCATACCACCTGTTGCTCATAAAAATAAAAAGAGAAGAAAATAGGACTCTCTTCATTAAAATTCATAAACATTCATATAGATAAGCTTTCTTTTAAAGAAAAACCCAGTACTATCATGCATCATATTAGGAATAAAACATGATAATACTTAGAAAAAACAAACACTTGCATACATGCATTTACAAAAAATTCATCCTCATATCATGCATTTTCACTTTTGCTAGATAATGGAGGGATCCGGTAATAGACAATTAAAGAAAGTGGAGATCCTTCTATGCCGTGTAGAGAAGTTAAGGTAGTTGTGTACATATATGCCGCCAGAGGTCTGTGCTAGTTTTGAGAAGTCTTATGGAAGAATTCTTGACCTCTTGAAGATCAGTATTGATCCGATATTTGTTAGAGCATTGGTCCACTTCTGGAGTCCCAATCTACACTGCTTTGAGTTCTCGCAGTTTGACTTGTTACCAACCTTAGAAGAATATGAACTCATGGTCAGATGGCCTCAGTCAGTTGGGGTTTATGTTTGTTCGGGAGTATACGTAGCCGTGAGTAAGGTTGCTACTATCATACGACTGCCTCCTCATCAATCCACCCTAGAGGGAAAAGGGAATATCAGAGGTTGGAAAATGGCTGTAATAGAAGACCACTTAGTTTCTCTGGCTGAAAAGAAAGATTGGTCTACATTCAACAAAACTCTAGCATTGACAATGTTTGGAATCATATTATTCCCATTTCATGTGAACATTGTGGATCATGCTACAATAGATGCATTTTTTGTCTAGGATGTGTACTCAAAGAGTCCTATACCTGCAATCCTCGCTGACACCCTGCTTTCCGTAGATTTTTGCCGACAGAAACAGGGGAAAACACTTAAATGTTGCACTTCATTATTATACATGTGGGGCATTACTCATTTTTATGCTTCAAGCCACATGGGC